GTAGGAAACACATAGAGCTGGCCTCTTCTTTTCCTTTGAATATCATCCCCTGTATTAATGTGCCCCCAAACAGCCTCCCAAATACATAAGGAAAGTTTTAGGGGAGCCAAGGAAAGCCAAATTCTACTATATGGAAGAGCAAGGAGCAAGAAACCAGCAATAAGATGATGGAAGAAGATTTAATGGAGAAGGTGCTATGGGGAGTTAGAGACCAAATGTGTTTGACAGAATGGGAGGGGGAGAGGAAGAATTCATTGAGAGAAGATAAAAGGGCAGAGACCTCATGAGATTCTGAATCACTAAGAACATGTTTAACACATATACCATGCTCCCTTCTAGTTACTTGTGCAGCCTAATGCATCATATTAATTTCCCCCCTTTGCTCCAGATGATGTACTTCAGCTAAAATGTATATATAGTTTTTTTTTTTATCAATAACTTTGAAAGAATTTCATTAATTAAAATGTTTTAGGATACAACAAGAAGTTGCAAAAGAAATCAGCTTAGTAAGCTGACCCAGAACAGAATTACAAATGTGCCCAAAACATATATGTTCTTTGAAGCCCTTGCTTTTCTAAGCTATCACTGTTGGCAGACCTCCTAACCCATCCCACCTGGATTGACATGTTCCTTGACATCCATTTAAATCTTCTAAAATCATTCTTCAACTGCCATGTCACCCCTTCCCCTTTCTTCCAACCATTTTATCACAGTTTTTGAGTCTCCCTCAATGATCAGTCTATTAATCCCCAACTCTTTAGCCTTCTCAACCCCATATGCTGCAGCTAGAAACTCTGCCCTTGCCACATCACCCTCCTCCACAGGACTGGAGTACAGAGCAATAATGAATCCATTTTCATCTCTAATGGCTCCCCCAATACCTGAAGGGCTTGGGTTACCCACACAACTCCCATCAAAGTTCAGCTTCTTCCAACCATCTGTTGGAGGGGACCAAGTCTCAAAAAACTGTCGTCTCATAGATGATGAAGCAGCAATAAGTCCCCAAACCCTGAAAAAGTCTTCGACCTTAAAAGCTGAAAACAGCTTCAAGCTTTTTACCCAATTGCCACCCTCAATGTTATTATTTCAACTAAAGCTTCCTTGCATTTTTCTTTACTTTCAAATATTCTATCATTTCTTTCCTCCCAAATGGTCCAAAGTATTGGTGCTCTAATACACCTCCAAAGAATCCTTCCCCTCCTTGTCTTACCACTGATACCATTAGGGTTGAATAAACCTTCCACCCTATCAGGAGAGGACCACCTCACCCAAGAAGGTGAGTAAACCAATTCCAACCAAAACTGACAAAAGGGCAAGATATTAGAAGGTGGAAAGCAGTCTCACCACTCAATTTACACAGGACACACCAGTTAGGGGACAAGCACCAATTTGGTCTTTTCCTTTGAAGTACATCAAAGGTATTAATACAACCATGAAAAACTTCCCAATAAAAAGCACTAATTTTAGGGGGAATGGGAGGGCAGGGCACCAAATTTCTTTGACTGGAAAATGAAGAGGAGATTGTGTGGCAACCATCGAATGTAGAAAGAATTTACAAGAAAAAGATCCACCTTCCCCCAAGAAAACTGAACTCAGCAATCCTAACAGCTCGGACACTGCAAGAAGAAGTTCAGACTCTCTAAGGTTCTTGTTAAATCCAAAATTCCAGTTCAACCCTGGAAGGTGAGATGGTTGACTTAGGTTATCTGAAATAGGCTTACCCTTGAACCTGGACAGATCACAAAGAGAAGGAAATTTCTCACCTAAAGGAGTATCCCCAATCCACACATCCTCCCAAAATGTATATATAGTTATTTACATCACAAAATTTGCACTGTGAAAGCATGGTGTACTTTGCAAGCAATTGTTCAAGCTGCAGTCTAGTACTCTAGTTCTTATATATAAACATGACAATCTACCAAGGAAACTGATGTGGACGTGTATTGGGAGCAGCAGCAGCAATGATCCGGTGTTCTCATCCTATCCAATTCGGCAGCAACAGTCTTATCCATTCAGCAGATTAGATTAGACTATCTTGTTATTCTTATCTTATTAAGTTAGTAGATTAGATTATCTTATCTTATTAGATTAGGATTAAGAGAGATTATCTTATCTTATTAGATTAGGATTAAGAGAAACTTATCTTATCTTATCAATCTTATCTTATCAAGATAGAGTTGGAAGTCTCCCTATTCAGCAAGGAGTCTCCCTAAGAGCAGGACTCTTGTAATCTCCTATTTAAGGAGACACTATTATTGAATAAAGGCATCCAAGAATTTCATTCAAGAGAAGAGTTGAGGAGAGTTAGGGTGATCTCTTGGACAAATCACCCCTTAGGTCGCCACGATAGGGTCTGCACGCAAAGGGAGGGGCAAGGGGAAGCTAGAGGTTCTCCCCGTGGACCGATCCGTGACGAGATCCTACTCCCGGGCCCATAACATTTTGGTATCAGAGCTGGGCGTCATGGGAGATTTGGAGCAGCTACCATCCAGGGTCCACAACCTCGAGCACCAACTCGTGGAGACCCGTTCAGAAGTACGTGAGATCAAAGACGAAGTGAGGGAGTTGCGGCGTCTGATAGAGTTATTCCTTTCTAGCAAGGAAAGGAACACTGAAGGGGGGACAGCCACTAGCGACCGCCGACCAGATCTGTCGGAGTCTTCCGGCGAACAGCAGTTCGTTAGCCAAGGAGCTGCACTCATCCCCAAGTACAGTAGGTTAGAATTCCCGTCGTACAACGGCAACGAAGACCCCTTGGGCTGGCTGTACCGGTGCAAGCACCTTTTTCGGAATCAACGGACAGACGATCGGGATAAGGTAAGTCTAGCCGCCTTTCACTTAACAGAGGAAGCACAACTTTGGTTCTATTGGTTAGAACATGAGGAACCCGGGCTCAGTTGGCCCTAGTTTAAGTCCTACTGCCTTCTTAGGTTCGGACCCCCACTGACAAGCAACCCCTTAGGCGAGCTAATTAACCTTAAACAAACCAGCACGATGGCAGAATACCACCGCCAGTTCCAGACCCTCCTCGCGAGGGCATCTTCAGTGCGACTGGACCAGCAGGTAGACATGTTCACCGCTGGGTTAGCAGAACCCCTGCGGGTGGACGTGGAGATGCAGAATCCCCCCAACCTGGTCACAGCCATGAATATAGCTCGCGCCTTCGAACGCAAGCTACAACTCAGCCGAAACCTTCAGTATGGGGCGGACTCCATCAGCATGGCCATCCCCAGAACCACTCAGAATGGCTCCATATTCAGCAGCCAGCCAAGAACGGAAGCCACTGACGAGCAACAATTCCAGATCAGCATCCAGTGTGGGGAGCAGCGTCGTTGCACCCCCTATTAAACACTTGTCCAGGGCTGAGATGGCAGAACGCAGGGCAAGGGGACAATGTTTTAATTGCGATGAACTCTACTAAGCAGGGCACAAGTGCAAGAGACTTTTCTGCCTCCTGGAGAAACAAGAGGAAGAGGAGGATGAACCCCCTTCATTGGAACCCAATCCAAGAGGGCAAAGTCCTTCCACCTATCCGGGATTCCTTTGACTGTGTTCCAAGACACCCATCCTGAATTCGAGCTTGAGGACAAGCTCGTAGTCCAAGAGAGGAGTAATGATGTGGACATGTATTGGGAGCAGCAGCAGCAATGATCTGGTGTTCTCATCCTATCCAATTCGGCAGCAACAGTCTTATCCATTCAGCATATTAGATTAGACTATCTTGTTATTCTTATCTTATTAAGTTAGTAGATTAGATTATCTTATCTTATTAGATTAGGATTAAGAGAGATTATCTTATCTTATTAGATTAGGATTAAGAGAAACTTATCTTATCTTATCARTCTTATCTTATCAAGATAGAGTTGGARGTCTCCCTATTCAGCAAGGAGTCTCCCTAAGAGCAAGACTCTTGTAATCTCCTATTTAAGGAGACACTATTATTGAATAAAGGCATCCAAGAATTTCAGTCAAGAGAAGAGTTGAGGAGAGTTAGGGTGATCTCTTGGACAAATCACCCCTTAGGTCGCCACAATAGGGTCTGCACGCAAAGGGAGGGGCAAGGGGAAGCTAGAGGTTCTCCCCGTGGACCGACCCGTGATGAGATCCTACGCCTGGGCCCATAACAAAAACTGTTTGACTAAATAGAGTGAAAGGTTAAAAGCACATTACATTGACATGGGAACAGGACAAGTCTCTAAAATTCCTAAAAGAGAGTATTCATGGACATGCATGTAATATTTATTTTAACACAGTATAAATATTGTATTGGATTAAACAATAAAAAATTTAATGAGTTGTATAGTATGTCTACAGACAAAGGAATCAACAGAAATAACACTATCTTTAGCAACCAACAGCTTTCTAGTTTCCATGAGAAAAGAAATAATTTATTTCTGATCAGTAGAAAAGAATTCATAGTGCATACTAGATGCCTATATGTCCTGCAAGGAAAGAAAAAGAAAGGAATCACAAGGTGTCAAACTGGAATTCCTGAATAACAAAACTGGAATGATTCCAAAACTGGTATTTCACCCATTAAAAAGATTCCAAACAGCACAGAAGTGTAACCATCGAAAGAATTAGAATTTACTAAACCAAAAAATTAAAAACTTTCAAGAAGGATCTTTTAGCTTCCTAGAATCAAGAAAAAACTATATGGCATGGTTGTATAGAGCATACAGCTGTACATGGATTGAGACAAATTCTTCTTCCTCACATTGATATGATACTTGGTTGTTTACCTTACTTATTAAATAGGACAAAAACATGAACATAATGCATGTTGCTAAGCTAGGCCAATCAAAACAAACATCAAGAATAGTCTATCCAGAACTTGTTTCTCACTAAGGAACAGATTAAGTAAGTCTATACTAATTTATTCTCAAACTAAAACCTAATATAATGGAATAACTTACTCAATAAAGATAGAAAAGATCCAGCAATCACAACCATGACAAGCTAAAAAAGAGAATCAGAGCTTGCTAATCCAAATAGAGTACCTGGAAATGTGAGCTGTTGAGGCATCTGCCAACCTGCCTGAACAAAGGCACCATGCAGCGCTGGAATTCAGCTGCCTGAGTGGCCTCAAGAACTTCCTCCAACTCACCAAGGAACATAACCTCCTTTGAACTATTAGTGATAGGCCAGTATTTCAGAAGACCTCTGATTACCGTATCAGCCAGCTTGAAATCTTTCTCTACAAACTGAGTGATACAGTAAGAAAGCTGCTGATGATACATCGATACGCACTTGGGTTTGTGAAGAGGGATAAGTGCCCGGACAAGGAAAAGTTTGTGTTCTTCCTTCAGTGGTAAAGCAAAACCATTAATTATACTACCCAATATCTCAAGTAATTCTGCAATTCCATTGTGCTTCTCTGTCTCAAAGATGAAACGGTAGAATATGTTGTTAATAGCTTTCCTGATGAATGGGCGGTGAACCATGAATTTTCCATAGATGCGGTGGAGTATTGTCTTCAGATATTCCCTCTCTCTCTGGTCCTCAGAATCAAATAGGTCAAGTAACCTCAACACAAATGAATGATCAATGTACCTCTTTGCCAGCTTGGCATCTGTCTCAGATGAAGCCACAAATCTCAACAAAAACTCGTACACAATCTGAAGGTGGGGCCATGCAGGTTCCATGGTGGGTTCCTCGTCCTCTGGGTCATATGTTTCTGGGAGCTTGTTCTCGTGGTTTGATGATGGAAATGTCCGAAACAAGTTGGCAGCCACCATCTTAGTGATCTCCTGCATCACAATCTCATTGAACTTGGATGTGACTGAGGTAATATAGTCAACAAGCTCTAGCAAGGTTTGTCTCTTTATGTCTTTCTCTTTGAGGTTCTTGGAGGGATCAGTAAAGTCAAATACTATACAGCACATGTTCAGCTTTCTTATGAACAGATTTTGCTTCTCTGAGCTTGGAACTTCCCTAAAAGTGGGCAGTGCCTCATAGGTAGTAGAAGCTAACACTGGGCCTACTTGGGAGGCAGCAGGGACAGATTTCTTCCCTTGATTAGATTTACTCGTAGCCGATGAATGTGGCACGGAAGCCCCATTGTTACTGCGGGAGGCACCAGAACCTGAATTTGGAGCTTTTCCAGCAATGGAACCACCCTTTGAATTGTTATGACCAGAAGTAACAGGGTTTGCTCCATGCAAAGAGTTTATAGATGGTGCAGTAGCCCCCCCATCATTATGGTTACTGTCATTAGGTGAAGATTTTGATGAGGGCTTTCGAGGTAGCTTCCCAAGTATTTGCTTAATCATATTTTACAGGACCCTAACAAGGAATACTGTTCCTAACCTCCTTCAACAATCCGTGTTTTCAAGATGCCCCCTTCCAGACAGAGCGCGTATCCCAGTTTCCACCTTGAAACATCTCAGACCGTAGGCATTCTTATAATTCACCGAAGGATGCCGTTCAATAAGAACATGTATTCGAAAAGAAGCCCTAATCAGTTCCACCCAAAACAACGAAATCCAGAAACGAAAGACTTTCTGCTCATGGAAATTATTCAAATGTCCATAATTCAAATACTAATAGTCTCGCATAATCAATCAAGACTAAAATGTCCGAAATTGGAGAAATGAATATGTGTGTGGGAAGTTTAAGGCGAGGACCCAAGTAACACCTATAATAAATTTAAATAAATGACAAAAAAATGAAGAAATGACTTACATTTATAGCTCGATCGACGATCTGTGGTGAACAAGAAACCCTAGAAATCGAGCTGTAGATTCTTACTAGTTTCTGCAAGCATAAACCCTAAAAATCTATAGTTATAGCCTCTACGAACCAGCTCTCCTCCTCCAACGATGCGAATCGACGGGGAGAGAGAGTGAGCGAGAGGGAAACAACAGGACAGGAATTCTCCCGCTGTGCAAAGAGGAATTAAATATAATTATATAAATATAAAAGAAAAAATCTATATATAGTATAAAATATAAATAAATAAACAAAAAGGTTCTCTATCCTCGTATCTTAAACCAGAATTTAACAAGGAATGACCAAAATTATTTCAGGCTAAAAAAAATTTAATAAAAAAAAGGCATTAATCTGGCATACAAAAAAGGAAAATTTTTGAGGTTTGGAGCTTCATAGCTTTAGACTGTATTACCAAGAATCATTTTACGCGACGTGGATGGGATGTTGTTCTGTCCGCCTCAGCCTCAGTGCCTTAACACAACCACGTGTTCTATTTCGACTGAAACGCCGACGAACTTTCTCGGTTTCCCGTCAGTCAAACAAAGAGAGAAATGTGGCTCATTACCAAAAAAAAAGAAAGAAATGTGGCAAACCACCTCCCTTTGCCACGTGGAAAAGGCAATAACACAGCACTGGAAATAAGATGACGTGGAAAACTTGTAGAATGTCACAAGACAGCTTTCAAGGTGAATCCTCCAATCATTCAAACCCGGCAATATAGGGGTTAGGTTGGAAAATGCCATCTAGATATCTTTTTTTTTATACGAACCACCTAATCGCCAATTGATTGGCCTACCTGACCGAGTCAGGAGTCACCCCTAATGGCCAATTGAGATGAATTCACATCAGCGCCCCACAATGTCACATTTGAAATCACATCTCCGCCCCACAGCACATTCCGGTCGTATACTAGGAACATCTCCGAATGATGACATCTCCAGGACTGATGATATATCATTGGGAGATGTTCCCAATACGGAGATGTGCTGTGGGGCGGAGATGTGAATTCGCCACATCCCGACCTTGTATCGGGAGATGTTCCCAATGCAAGGTCGATTGAGATGGTGTTTGGTATGATGATGTTTTAACTTTTAATTCTCAATATTTTGTTTTTTATCACTCCATTGAAATTTTAAAAAGTGAAATGTTTGTCAAAAAAATGAGATAAATCTGTTTTTATATTGTTAAAATCGCCTATATGGAATTTGTGCCCAACCAAATATAATTTATTGTAAGATAAGATTAAAAATGCCAATATGATACTTAGATGATGGTTCCAAACACCACATGAAACTAGATGTGTAAATGGACCAAATTCAACTCAAATCAGACAAATATTTGAGTTGAATTCAATTAGATATATTGGATGTTCAAATATGAATTCAATTAAATATTTAAATATTTAAATTGAATTTGATTTATTAATTGTTTTAGATAGTTTTTATATAATTAAAATTATACATATATATATAATTTATTAGGATATTTATCGAATGAAATCAAGTTATATCTGAATAGGATGCAGTTGACACCCCCCTACATAAACCATCCATTATGTGGGGCAATCAATTGTAACATTCACCTTCACAATCTGATCCAGATTTTAAAAGGAAATGGGGTCCATCATATGTATTTTGATACTTGACAATAACAAGTAAAAAGAATAATGATATATAATTATTATTCATATATATATAAAAAAATAAAGTATTTTTGTAATTTTAAGTGCAAATCAAATAACCAATCATTACTTTTTTTATTTTTCTCTTAAACTCGTTATGAGTAAACTCAATTTTCATTGGGCTCAATTTGGAAAGAGGACAAATGCAAATATGTACAATGCAAATACATACGAAATAATACAAAACATAAGGTTTTGCACTCTATATATTTGCATTTGTACTCTTCCAAACTGAGCCTTAAGATTTTTATTAGTGACCATTAATAGAAGTTGTATATATAAGCATTTAAGTTTTTTTTTTGACAAAACTATCCTTGAATGGCCAGTAAAGTTTGTTAAATGTTTTTATGACAAAATTACCCCTAACCTAGGCCCAGACCCACACTATGCCTGCAAATTTTAGAACAGGGCCTAGACTTAATACTTCAAGCCCGACCTAGGCCTGACCCAACTTGCATATATTTAAAATATATACTCTAAAAATATGAGTAATTAGGGGTAATTTTGTTATAAAAATATTTAATAAGATTGATTGACCATTTAGTGATAGTTTGGTCATATAAAATACTTAAATGCTTATTTGGACAACTTCTATAGTTCTATTAATGGTCACCAACGGTGATTTAATGGAAATCTTTAACGGAATTTGAGTTTTGGATAATAAAACTGATCAATGACAAGGGGAGCTCTTGGAGGTTTAAAAAGTCATGATGAATTTTAAGAGAAATACAAAAAAGTCATGGTAAATTTTAGATAATATCTCTTTATTTTACTTTTAATCCAGAGTGTGATTGTCAAGACCATGTGGATTGTGGATTAAATAATTAACCAATCGGACCCAACAATTGGTTTGACCTATTTTCATCCTACTAATACCATTATATAAATACACACATATATGTAGCACATGGCAAAAATACCCAATGATGTATGCATATTTTTCTTCATTATTTCTCTATAGTAACTTGGTATGGGATGCCTAAAATAGTAATTTCACATAATATACATACTAGATATTTATGAGAAAAATAGAGCAAAGTGAATTAGCAGTACTGGTAAGGGACAAAGAAGAATACATTGACAATATTTTCGTGATGGGAAAACTCCAGACATCCCCATTGATATTATATCGCCATCACAATTATTAAATGCTCCTTATTTATTCTATCCCTTTTTATCTGATATGACTTTGTTTTGTATGTATATTCTTTGTCAAAGTAGCCACAATTTAAAGCGTAGTTACATCTACGTGGAATAACACGATGAAGAGATAGAATTAAAGAATGGAAGAGAGATTGAAGACGATAAGGTCAGCCTGCACTTTCGACTACTTTGTATCTTATCTCAATTCATAGATTGGACTCCTTTCTTTTCCAAAACCCAAAGAACTAGATTGGACTCATCTCTCACCACAGCAAGAAGATATTCTTTGTTCACCATTAGCAAGACAATCAGTTTGTTAAAATTTGAGTGATGGAACTTTCATTGAGGAAACTTACAGAACAGCATCAAGCTTCATATTATTTTCACATGTAAAGTATACAGCGGCTGTGAAGCAGAAGTAAAATTTAAAGGGAGCTGTAGATAAAAGTTAAAAATAAATAAAAAAGCTTTACTTTTTTCATATGGTCAGAAGGAACTTATGGTTCAGTTTGGAAAGAGTATAAATATAAATATATATAGTATATATACATATAAAATAATATAAAATACAAAATAATTAAAATTTTTCAGTAATGTTTTAGTGGAAAATTAATTTCAATAATATAAATTTATTTTTTTATATTTTTAGTAATTTTGATATTTACTATAATTTTTTAGCACTAATTAGTGACTTTGTTAATTTAGTGAAACTTAAATTATAAAACTTTCAATTTTTCAAATAAATAATTAGAAAATTTTAATAATTTTCATAAGTATTGGGTGCTACATTTATAATTACCATAATTAATGGAACTCTATTTATGGGTTTGGGGGTGTTATAGGTTTAGGGGATGACCCCCAGGGTAGGAATGGCAATGGGCAGGTTTGGGGTGGGGATCATACCTCTCATCCCAACCTCGAGTTTTAAATTAATCATTGTCAAAAATTTTAGCCTGCATCCCCGGTACTCGACAGAGAGGGCTTCCCCCATCGGGGACCTAAATCCTTAAATTTGTTAATTAAAAGTTTGTTTTTAGAAAGATGTTTATTTAAAAATAAAGGAAAATTTAAAATGCAAATAATATTTTAATATATAATATGAAAAATATTATAAATAACATAAATAAATATATATACATATATTTAATATATATAATCAGGGTTGGGGTGGGGTGTGGATTCCACTCCCCGTCCCCAATCAGGTATTCCTATTAATTCCATCCCCACCCTATCCCCGCTAAGGCAATCTTCATCCCATCCCCGCCTGATCGAGGAGGTCGGGTACTTGGCAGGGATGGAGAAAATTTCCATCCCTACCCCCGGGTTGTGTAGTATAAATATATGCAGTATAAAATGCATATAAAATAATACAAAACTAGCGAGGGGCGCCCGTGCTAAGCACGCACGGGCGATGAATATCGAATTGCTGCAATCGTAAAAAATTAAGAAGAAAAAAAACAAAGATAGTTTAAAAACAAACAGGATTTCGCTTATTACAAAAGAACACGTCATTGCATAACTTGATTAATGGCTTAAGTGCAAAGGTTTTATAGCGATTCAGTTGTGGATAATGCATCATGCTTGAACTACAAAAGCGAACTACGGTTTGCATTGTTTGAATAACAAGACAGAAATTAATTGTTTGAATTGTTAATAAAAATATGCAAAAAAGTTTTTGGTGTAACATAAGTATGGCACCCTAAAGCATAATCAAAGTATTTAAATTTTAAACTTGACTTTTCTTTATTTTGTTATTTTTTTTTCAGCAAGTGTTCGGATTCATGGAGCTGTCATTGCTAATCAATCAGCCCCTGTCATTGAAGAATTTGTAGATTCAAATTTCATTAAGGCAAATGATACGAATTCTGTCACTGAAGGAGACTTGGTTGTTGAAACCAGACAACCCATTTTGTTGGGTTCGGAATCTGGTGTTGTTGGAGACAAAGAGGAAATGATGGTTCTGAAGCTAAAATTGTAGAGCAACCGGCGGGTCCAGAATCTGGTGTTGTTGAAGATAAAGAGGAAAATGAGGCTTTTGAAACTGAAGTGGTGGAGCAACTGTTGGACTCAGAATCTCGTGTTGACGGACACACAGAAGAATACAAGGCTTCTGAAACTGAAGGGGAGGAGCGACTACTGGGTTCAGAATCTGGTGTTGTTGGATATAATGAGGAGTACAAGGCTTCTAAAACCGAAGAAGTGGAACAACCAGCAGAGAAAAGTGTCAGATTGGGTACTGGGTCTGATCAATCCAGTCATGTTGTTGTGTTGCAAAGATAGAGGAAGTCAATGCTGTTGAACATGAAGCAGCAGCCAACCCTGTTCATGAGGCCAAGGAACTGGGATCACTTGAACCAATAGCCAACAAGGCGGGAGTGGTGGAAGTTTATGTTTTGGACACCGGATCTACTTCTGTTGATACTGTAATGGTTGTATCTGCAGATGACCACAAAGGGGAAAGGGATGGTGCTGGTGTTAATGAAAGTATTTGTCTTAATGAAGATGAAAACACTGGGATATCTAAACTTGAAAGTGAGCAACAGACTGCTTCAGGAGCTGATGCAGATGAATCCACCCTGGACTCAGCTGTTAATGGAGTTGAATCAGAAGATAACAGATGGCAGAGATAAGATTCAGAGTGTAGATTCTACTATTAATTCCATGAGGCCTGTTGGGGAGGAGTCCAAGCATTTAGAAAATGGTGATGCCTTCA